GGAATGCTGAGGGGGGATGCTGAGGAGGATGCTGAGGGGGAATACTGAGGAGGAATGCTGAGGTGGAATGCTGAGGTGGGATGCTGAGGGAAGATGCTGAGGGGGGATGCTGAGGGGGGATGCTGAGGGGGGATGCTGAGGGGGGATGCTGAGGAGGAATGTTGAGAGGGGATGCTGAGAGGGGATGTTGAGGGGGGATGCTGAGGGGGGATGCTGAGAGGGGATGCTGAGGGGGGAGGCTGAGGAGGGATACTGAGGAGGGATGCTGAGGGGGGATGCTGAGGAAGAATGCTGAGGAAAAAAATTTTCCAAAAAATGTAAATAATCTGTGAACTTCTTATGAAGTTGTTCGAGAAAAATAAGTGTCTGTTTTCAGGGGAAAAAATGAGAACATGAGATTAGTCTTTTAGAATATAAGCTTGACAGGTAGTGTCTGTCTGGTATACTGTCTGGAGGAACAGCTGCATAGAAAAAAAAACATGTGTGTTAGTTACCTTTTCCATTGCTATGCTAAATACATGACAAGGAGCAGCTTAAGGGAGAAAGGGCTTGTTTTTCATACAGTCCATCATAACTGAAAGTCCTGGAGGCAGGAGCTTGAGGCAATCTGACACATTATATGCACAGTGAGGAAGTAGAGTGCAATAAATGTTAACATTGGGCTACCTTTCTCTTTCTTATTCAGTCTGGTACCCCAGCGGATGGAACAGCACCACTGACATGGAAGGTGGGTTTCCTCCCCTTCATTAACCCAATCTAGAAACTCTCTCACAGAAATGACCAAAGGTTTGTCTCCTAAGTGGTTCTAAGTCCTTATGAAGTTAATAATTAATAACAACCATTACACAAGTTTGAAACTGGTCTCTATCTCAGGCCATATTATAAATTACTATTTATAGTCAATGATCTGTCTGACCTTTCTAGTATTAGATATAGAAATTATGTCAGCTTCAGCATCAAACTGAGATGCAGTAACCTAACCAGGGTGATACACTTAAGTGCATGACAACAAGTCAACCATGTGGAACTTACCTCCTCAGACTTGTTCTTGCCCACCATATTGTTTGAATAATACTATGAGAGAAGGTAAAGGGAGGTGCAAAGTTCCAAGTCGGGGTCCCCACTTTAAGTTGTATAGAATCCCATATTCATCAGGAGACAATAGTAATAGTAATAGATAGTAATCTGGGCAGTGTCATTAATATTAGCTGCAGCGAGTTCATTCAAAAGCTCTCACAAACCAATACTTCATTTATTCCAAGGCCCGGTGTTCCTCTGACCTTGGGGAAAGAGAATCATGGAAACACTTCATTGCCTGGACTCAAAATAAGCTGAGAAGGTAAATTTACCTGAAAATGTCATCCTGATTTAGCATAGCTAGAAATTTCACCTGCCACTAAATCCCAAAGTTTAGAAAACAACAGTAGGATTTGGAGGAAAGAGGTCAAACTACCTGCTGTAGGGCAGGTCAATTGTCCTGGAATTAGCTCACCATAGGGAAAGTGCAGAGTGTCTACTTTAAGAATCAAAATTCTGACAGGCATAAGGAAGAGTCCAATTGGCAAGAAAGAAGAGGGTTTGTATGAGCGAGAATTGTTGAGACCAAGGTTGGATAAAGCACAGGGACAAATAGCCAAATGAATGGAAACACATGAACTATGAACCAAGAGCTGAGGAGCCCCCAACTGGATCAGGCCCTCTGGATAAGTGAGACAGTTGATTAGCTTGATCTGTTTGGAAGGCATCCAGGCAGTGGGACCGGGTCCTGTGCTCAGTGCATGAGTTGGCTGTTTGAAACCTGGGGCTTATACAGGGACACTTGGCTCAGGCAGGGAGGAGGGGAATGGACCTGCCTGGACTGAATCTACCAGGTTGAAATCAATCCTCAGGGGAGCCTTTGCCGTGGAGGAGATGAGAATGGAGGGTGGGTTGGGCAGGAAGGTGGGGGTGGGGAGAACAAGGGATCCATGACTGATATGTAAAATTAAATTAAATTATAAAATAAAAAAAAAGAATCAAAATTTCTGTCTCTGGTAGATACATCCCTTGGCTAGAGGAAAGCTACCAACCAGAATGTCTATCCTCCTTTTAACACTACCAAGAGTTGAGTTGACAGATCCCTTTTTACAAAGCAGAAAATCAACCATCCCACAGCCCTTCCTTTGTCAAGGTAAGTAATGGATTAATAGTCTAGCTTCTGAGAATATAGTTTTTAGTATATTTTGACTATCTTATGTTAAAATGACCTAAATTAAAATTACCTAGTCCATTACTGATTTTTCCTTCTAAAATTACAGTTGTGCTATAATGTGCAAATTTTCATTGCTCTTTAACATAAAATTAAAATTACATAGTTAAATAACCTCAATTTATAATTCTTGAAAAGAAGTCTTGGGCTTCAAAGCATAATTACCTAGAGCTCATTAAAATGCAGAATTATTAACCTAGGAGCTGAAGTTTCTAGTAATAGTAGATCTTTTATAACAGTAATTATGAGTCATAAATATTAAGTATTAAAGTAACATTCCATATTTAAAGGGAAAGTGTTCAGCTTCATCTTCCTAACAATATAAAAAGAAGACCTTGTAGGCATCATTGGAATGTTAGAAAGTTAAGCACATTTGGCTTGCTTATTCAAACAAGACATTATAATATTCCTACAAGCTCTATGTTGAAAACTTCAATGGATGAAATATATTAATATGTAAGAAGCATATGTAGTCATGCCCTAACTGCTATTTTCACTAAAATATCCTGTGGTAAAGAGCAAGCATAAATAACATACTTAGTATGATAAGTATTACATAAGAAAAATTAAGAAATAACTATAAGGATATAGACTTACATAGTGGCAGCAGTAATCTCTGTCTGATTAGTAGATTTAAGGATTCTATGTCCACCTTTCTGATGATTTCAGTAATTTATCAGCTTTCTCTGATACTTATATATTTCTTTTAACAATAAATGCTTTTAATAATAATGCTTTGAGAATTTCATACAATGTATTTTGATCATATTTACCCTCATCTCCTCCCCTTAACTCCATCTAGATTCACCCCTACCTATTTATCCCCACAAATTTCATGTCTTCTTTGATTCTTTTTAAATTAAATAAAGCATTTACTCTAATTTGTACTGTCTATATACTCCTGGGTGTGAGGTGATCCCCTGAAGTGTGACTAACCCACCAGCAGCCACACACATGAAGAAAACTGGCTTTCCATTTCCCAGAAGCTAACAATTGTCCATAGCTCATCAGTTAAGGCTGTGGATTCACTTCCCACTTCCCACTTCATGCTAGAATGCTTACCGGCTTAATACTGTGCAAGAAACCACAGCCACTATGAATTCAAGAGTGTAGCAGTCTTGTCATATCTAGAAGGCATGTTCTTTCTGGTCCTCCACAGTCTCTGGCTCTTACACTCTTTCCATCCCTCTTCCATTGTGTACCCTGAGCCTTAGGGAGGTGGCAGGATATAGATCCCATTTGTGATGAAGCAATACACAGCCATTTATTCTCTGCACTTTGACCAGCTGTGAGTTTCTGCATTAACCATCATCAACTGCACACACACACACACACACCTTCTCTGATGAGGTCACAAAGCTGCATTAATCTACAGGTATAGAGATATGACTTCAGAGGGGCATTTAGCAGAGTAATAGCATAGGTTCACCCCGGGGCTAGTGGGCTCCCCAACCATGGGCTTTTGGCCAGATTTTCAGTACCAGGCATGTGTTTCCTCCTGTGGAATGGACTTTAAATTCAATCAGAAAGCAGTTGGTTTCCTCCATAACATTTGTTCCACTATTGTTTCCTAGTGAGCACCAACTTGATTTTTCCAGTGTGTGGTGTTTTCAGCAACAGTGACTCACTATCAAGTTCTGGTGAGCAACCAAGAACAGTTGTATTGTTTGAGCTTATCCAGGACATGCCTGACTAAAACTCAAGATGAAGTATCCCATACCTATCACCAGGCTTTCTTTCTTTTTTTTTTTTTTTTTTTTTGGTAACCTATAGCTTCTGGAATGAACATACTATCTTATATAGGGTAATGCCAATGAATTTATTTTGTGTGAACATATATGGATGTGTGTATGCATAGAGCTAATAAAAAAGATTTACATGTAGGTTTTTACAGTATCTCAGTGTTAATTATCGCTCCCTGAACTTCCTCTATGCCCTACTCTCCCATCCCCCTTTAAGCTCCTCCCATAGTCTCCTTTTCCACTTCATATCACCTGTGTTCTACTAACTACCCTCCTGTACAAGTTTTTTTCCACCCACCCACCCTCCAATGGTTACTTTCTAGTTGTCTGGATTCTCCACAAATCCAAATATTCAACAATAGATCTTTATGAGTGAGAATATGAAATATTTGTTCTTCTGGATTTGAGTTACCCCATTCAGTATAATGCTTTCTAACTCTATCCATTTACCTGAAATTTTCATTTTTCTGTACAGCTGAATAAAATTTCATTGTGTAATGGTACCAGTGTTTCACTATCCATTCATCAGTGACAGACATCTAGGCTCATTCTATGTCTTCGTTATTGTGACAAGAGTAGCTATAAACTTAATGAGATTATAATGAGATTTCATTGTTCCCCAGTCAGAAAGAAAACAACAGACAACAAATGCTATCAAGAATGTAGGGAACAGGAAACCTTCATGCACTATGAGTGGAAGTACAAATTGGTACAAATACTGTGGGAATCATGTTATCAATTCTACAGAAAACTAGAAATAAATCTGACATGTGATCCAGCAATACTATGCCTAAACATATTCTCCAAAGACTATTTCTTAATGCAGATCATATATTTCTTATAGTTCATTTATTAATATTTTCAAAAGTATAATTTCATTTACATTTCTAGTTCTTTTTCATAATTATCTTTTCTTGTTTTACATTATTATGTTAAATCTTACATCTCTCTAGGTATTGATTAAATCAACAAAATTTTGTGGTTTCTATCTCTTTAGACTCTCTTCTGCATCTATTCACCCATCTGTCTACAGGGAGGGGTTCAAAGCACTACTAATTCAGAAAGCACAGCATGGGGAGTCCAGGTATGGGAAAGTAGGGGCTGAGAAAAGATAAATGTGCTACTGGACTTATTAGCTGTGATATGAATGAGAATTGTCCTACTTAGCCTCAGGCAATAACACATGTGATCCCCACTAGGTGGTGCTGTTTAGGGAGGTCTTGGAGTGGCAGCTTTGCTGGAGGAAGTGTGTTCCTGAGGGCAGGTATTGAAAGCATTTCTTCACCCTAGTTCAAATTCACTCTGTTGCTTTGTGCTCATGGTTGATATGTGATCTCCCTGTTTCCTGCTCCTGCTGCCATGACTGCTGCTTGATGTCATGCCTCCACATCATGATGAAGTCTTTTTATTCTGGAACTGTAGGCCAAAATAAACACTTTCTTTCTTAAGTTGTCTTTGGTCATGGTGTTTCATCACAGCAACAGAAAAATAGCCAATACACTAGCCCCATGGATGCTCTTCCAGGAGTAAACATTCTCATTCTTTCCAGGTTATAACCAGTGAATAAGAGCACAGCTTTGCCTTTGCAGCCTAGAGTCCTTTACCCATCCTCCATCTGGATGCAACCAGTCTCACTGATGTCCCCACTGTCCCTTCCTGCCTTCAGCTTCTGGCTTCTACAAGCTCAAGATGAGACTTTTGTTCTCTTTTATCTTTGTTATCTTTGGTATCTTAAAGCTTTGTTATCTTAAAACTAAAAACTTAAGAAGAAAAACAACTTTTAAAAGTCACTTGAAAATCACCATAATAGGACTGAATAGATGGCTCAGCAGATAAAAGCACTCACTGAGAGCTGGGCTTAGCGGTGCACACCTTTAATCCCAACACTGGTGAGGCAGGCAGATCTTTGTGAGTTTGAGGCCAGCGTGGTCTACATAGTGAGTTCCAGGGCAGCCAGGGCTACAGAGTGAGACCCTGTCTTGGGAAAAAAAAAGGGACAAAAACAAACAAACAAAAAACAGTGCTTACTGATCTTGCTGAGGACCAGAGTGTAGATGCCAGGACTCATAACAGATAGAGACTGACTCTTTAACCATAAGGTTATAAAGAGACAGTTGTGATAAAGCTAAATAGCCAAAAGACTAAATTAAATGTAAAGAAAACACATGGTTCTAAGTTCCACTCAGTTTACCAATGGCCTGCAATGGCCTGAAGCAGGAAAGCAGCAAGAGCGTCTGCTGACTCCCAAGTCTGTCTGCAGACCATGAGGTCATTAGAGCACATCTGCACTCCTCAGAGCAAAACCACCAGCAGGTATTTTCCAACAGCCCCTTAAATGCTATTGATATCATTTCACTTTGGTTTGTGTTGAAACTTTTGGAAAAATCATGAAAGTTCACTGTACTCTTTCTAATGTACTCTTTATAACTTTGGATATAGTTGGTCAGAATTTGTATAACCTTTGAATTCTTTCATAATAAAGATTAGAGAATGAAATAAAATGGATAGCCAGAGAAAAGAAAAAAAGCCAAAATAACTATCTTCTTAGCTTATGATTTTGAAATTTCCATACTAAATTTTATACTCTTGAGGTCCAAGTTTAATTTCTAGTCAACAAAATGAGATTTCCTGCTTCCACCAAAATGGGAAAGGCCAAGACTCCTGTGAAACTTAATCATGTCTCAGTAACTGCATTTGACAACTCAAGAGTAAAGAAACCAGAGCTGGGCCTATTAGATTTCTTTTTAAAACATGTGGTTTAAAAAATAAAAGTGGAAAGGCTTGGCACAGAAATCTCTGATTTTGCCAAAGCCCAAAGTATTTAGGAAAAATAATATTGAAACAAAAATAGTTTAAATTATTTTCCAAGTTCCAAATATGGTCAAAAATCTACTGATGTTAACTTTTATGGAGTGACTTCAGTTGTTAACTACAAGCCCACAAAGAATTTCTAAAATGGACCCAAAAGAACGAGACTTGCAATGTATTTCTGCTGACTAATCTTCCCTTTGCTGTAACACAAAGAACATCAAACTCATAAACACAGATTTGGACAGAACAGCAGCAGACACAACATTGGAAATCAAAAACTTCTTAAGGAATCATCTCTCCAGGAGGCCAAGTTCAGTCACAATCACTGGAGAAGGAAGGCAGCATACACATCTGAAGCTGGTG